TGGATTGTACATATTAGTTCCATCTGAGGTTTGGAGTTTAATGAGATTTTGCAGGAGGAATGTTACCAAATCCTCCACGAGGAGATAGCGTCAGAAATTGGTTACAAACTGCAAAATTAATAACGGGATTATGTTAACACTGCAATAAACAGCCTGTCATCAGGTAAGCTGATTGGATTTGCAGCTGAAAGGCGTTAAGATTAAAACATCAAACATCATTCTCCATGTCAGCGTGATGACCTGTGGAATTCTGTAGGAAAAGTGTATACACGGAATAGAAGAGGTAATATCCGCGGATAGGTAACAATGAATAGGTGAATTTTGATTTGAATTTTTTCCTGTATAATACCAAGAATTAAGTGCATTAACAAATTTTTGACTCATTATATGTAGAACTCCCTCTAAGTTATCATAATTTCTTCCGTGAAGTTTTTCTTTAGGCGATTTTTTTTTGTTTTTTTTTATTTTATTTTACTTTATTTTATTTCTATTTTGGTGTAGTTTACATTGTCACAAGAAACAGGTCATATAACAATTATATATATATATATATATATATATATATATATATATATATATATATATATATATATATATATATTTCCTTGCGTCATCTTTACTTGATGGATGCGGCAGTGGGAGATATATGACCAAGAAAAACACCTTAGCAATTTCAATCGTTACTAATGTTAATACAACTGACATTAGCCGATTTTATTCCATACGACACTGCTTATGTTATACCGTCGCAGAACTCGTAAGTACCATCCCACAAAAAGAAGCCAGAAAATATAACGAAATTAAAACTGGTTTAAATTTAATAAATACCTGGTGTAAATGCAATTTTTGCCAATTCGTATTACAGAATAATTGTCCTTCCCACAAAATGTTTAATCGCTAAAAAATCACTAAACTGTGTTTCTTTTTTCCATGTATTCACATAAGACGTTTCGCCATCTTGATGCCATTTTTCGTAAGAATCATGGAAAAAATCCATTGAGTTATTATAGAAAGAGGACAGGTTAAATCCTTTTCTATCAGCATCACTGTCTTCCAAGCTAAGCAATGGTGAGATGAAAAAATCATTCAGGCCTTCATTAGTGATACCAAAATTCATATTCTGGCTTCCATCTCTCAAAGTCTATTCAAGAAGCATCAAGAGAAAGGTCAATAAATTAAAAAAAAAGAGACAACAGTAGAGAGGAAAACTGAATCAGGAAGTCACAGAAGGAAGAGGGATCATCATTTCAACTTTGAGCTAAAAATCAATTAAGAAAAGATCCAACTCAATCCATAAGAAGTTTGCCACGTAAGAGAGACGCTTTACCTATGACAGTCCAAAGAGCAGTTAAAAAAGACTTGAAAATGAAATTGTACGTAAAACGCGTGAGGCAACTTGTTACTCCAGGACAGAAAGGTAAAAGGTTAGAGAGGGTGAAGATCATCTTGAATAAGTTGGAAAATGATCCTGGAATTATACACACACACACGCACGCACGCACGCACACACACACACACACATTCAATCATATTTTTAATATAATTATAATATATATATATATATATATATATATATATATATGAACTTCATTTCAATCATTTATGAGTTTCCGATCCTTAACTATGATTAATTAATGATAAACATGACCATTTTCATTTATGATCGATTTCATTACGATTCTTCTGTTAAGCCTTGAGAATAATTATACATTCTTATTAGCATTATCAAAACCTCGGAGAATTTCAGTAAGATATCTTTAATCATTTCTAAGATACAATGGTTCCGAGATTAATCAAATTTTGCTATTACACGGTTTTGACAATTTTGTTGTTACAGCCGGTATATACCCATGGGTGTGTTTAGGAGGTAGAAAGACATCCAAACAAAAGTGGAGATAATTAAAACCAAAATAGAAAAGTTATTCAAACGAAGCTTCTTTATGGCAGGCGTTTAAATTAGAGACAAGCCTGTGTGTAAGTAAAGAGTGTTGGAATTTGAGAAAGAACTAATAAATATCTGTCATAACTTGAAACGTGGATCCGTAATAATACCGACTAGACAGTTCAGTCAAGTTACTTCTTAAAAAGCAGAAGTGATAGTTTTGCTTTTATTCACATATAACAATATGGCCGACACGGTAATTCAGTATGTGAACAATGGCTGAAACGGTGCTTTCAGTTCTTTAGTTCCCGTTTTAAAAAGTATCCTTATCAAATATTACTGCAACAAGATTTTTATTTCCGTATTGAAAACGTTAACCTCTGCAGGATTTACAATTTATTCGATTCCGAATAGATCTTTTATTTATTTATTTATTTATTTTTGTATCTGTCTATATTTCTGAGATGAGGTATTATGTACATTATTTACCTTCGGACTATTGTCCTCATCATTGTCGCCATATTTATTACAACGTTTCGGCCGTTGTACGCTCCGGCCTTCTTCAGGTGGTTGGAATGTCGAACTGAACCTTTTATTCCGCTCACTTGGCTAGACTGTTCTAGTTCCACGTGCCATGTTTTTAATGGATGTCAGTTATCAGTTATCTCCTGTTAATTCCCCTTCTCCAAGTTCTCCACTGCCTTAACCGGGTATTGATCTCACGCCTTTTGGGTCTTGTCACTGGATCTAACTAACGCCACTTATCCACTGTACCATGTGTACTCAAGGACACATGGTACAGTGGTTAAAGGCGTCCA